TGCTTCATGGTATCTGCTCTGTCAATATAGATGTATAAAAGAAGAGTCTTAGAATGTGATTTGCAAGAATGAATCAAGATCAGCTTATTTCTGGGAAAACTGTATTGGGCTCCCTGTGCTGCATGCTCTACCTGCTAATAAGCTATGTGTGAAAGTTGTTAACACTAATACTTGATGTGAATATAAATCGGGATATGCAGTTGCTCTGAAACACTGCGCCTCAGGTTACAGGCACTCTAACGAGGGTCCTAAGAACTGCAAAAGTATCTTCTTGAGGCATTATCTGCCCCTATCCCTGCTGGCCCATCAGGAGGACCCATTGGCTCCTGGCATGTGTGTGTTATGTACATATGCATTTTTATTTTTTTGAGATGAAGTCTCACTCTGTTGCCCAGGCTGGAGTGCAGTGGTGCCATCTCGGCTCACTGCAGCCTCGATCTCCCAGGTTCAAGCGATTCTCCTTCCTCAGTCTCCCAAGTAGCTGGGATTACAGGTGCATGCCACTATGCCCAACTAATGTTTGTAGTTTTTAGTAGAGATGGGGTTTCGCCATGTTGACCAGGCTGGTCTTGAACTCCTCACCTCATGTGATCCGCCCGCCTCTGCCTCCCAAAGTGCTGAGATTACACGCATGAGCCACTGCACTCAGCCTGCATTTTTGTTTATCTTCTTTGTAAATGGTGAAACTGTACTTTCTGCAGGCACTGTAGATCTTCACCTGAGTCTGGCAATTCAAAGGCCTGCACTGATCACCAGGACCAATGCTGGCCATGGACCTGGATCCTAGGCCCTAGGTTTTCAGAGCATCACTGCCAGTCTTCAGGAGACTCATGCATGTGCAGCTCACTTCTGCCAGACTCATCTGCACCTGCAACTAAAGTGCTGAGTCAGCATAGCCAGATCCCCAGATCCCCAGCTCATCAAACTATCCACCCCTTCCCTAAAGATACTATCAGGATATTTCTAAAAGTGCAGTTGTGTGAAAAGATCAGGTTTTGGTTGTTGCTTTGTAACATTTCAACAAAGACAGACATGTAAAAGATATTTCTTAGAGCGGCCGTTGCAAATAGTAATCATGGTTGTGTTACTTCAGTGGAATGCTATGTTCACCTTTCTGTTAGGTAGGTTAAAACTCTCCAAAGACAAATGTATACAATATGTTTCTAAGCATGTTACTTGTAGGTATGAATCAAGATAGCGTTTTTCCAATAAAATACTGTGTTCACTCTGCTGCCTGTTATACACTGTCAAAATACTCATGTATAAAAGATATTTCTAAGAATGCTAATTGGAGGAATA